TATATATATATATATATATATATATATATATATATATATCCTTAAAAATGACCCTGAAACACAAAGAGCATTGAAATCATACTGACTTTCAATAAATCCAGAGTTTGATTTCAGACTTTAAATATTATAGATAATAAACTTCATAAACTTCATCTCTTTAGACATGAATTTAAATAGAGCATTATTTCTTGATTCTGCTCAACTGACAAAGATGTGAAAAATGTGGAGTCACAAGGGATGCACATAAATCGTGTACCTCAGATGGTCCCTCTCAAAATTCTAGCTGCCATCAGACAAGCATAAGTAAAATATGCTAATGAGCAAAAACTGCTGAGCTCCTTAAATTCACAAGAGAAAGACATCAAGATTTAACTTAACCACTTTCACATCATGGTGTTATGTGAAGCCTTAGTTCTTTCATTTAATCTCACCTTTGTCTTCTCTCAAAATGTACATAAACTCTACTTAGCCTTGGATTTCCAAAACAGCTTTCTATTTCAGCAATCTGTCACTAAACTATTTACATTAGCTTCCTGAAGTGATCCAGCTATAAATCTCTTTATTATAAATGGTTACTGAATGCCATTATTAATATTTCATGCAAAAGAGCACGTCAACTAACCAAATAAAAATAATACAAATGATCAACTTACTGTACCAAAACTAAATAGATATATATTCTTTGAATTAGTAAAATGGAAAATGGCATCAACAAATTTTTTCTCTGAAAAAAAAGAAAATCAAAATGCTATATTATCTGTTTCAGATTATTTTATCACAGTCTTCCAATACAAAAAACAGATTTCAAATCTTTGACCTTAAATCATTTACAAAAAAAAAAAAAAAAAAAACTATTTCTGCATCATATATTCTAATAGAACACTGCTAGCAAGTAGGAGGAATTGGACAAGTAAGAGGAATCAGAGAAACAGCATCTTCCAGGATTATAAATTAAGCAATTCACAGTCTTTGTACAAAGTCCAAGGTACCACAAATATTATTAAAAATGCAAGCCAAGCAGCACTCGACAAGACAGCTTAATAGTTACTGCTTCAGGTGATAATTTCAAAGTATGTGCATAAGCAGCTACTTCTCCGAATATTCTTAATTAAGAAGAGAAAAACTATAATTTTCTTTGATGTTATAATCTATCATGGTGGGATTTTATTTATTTTTCTTTTCAAGTGTCCAAAATATAAATGGAGGCTCACATTTTCTATTTTTAATGAGGGAACAGAAAGACTTTAATTTAAATAATTATAGCCATAAGCCATTCAGAGAATCAACTGGGTAATACATACATTTCCCATAAATATCTGCTCTTATGTACAGCAATATGCTAAGAAACAGACAAAAAAATCATTTCTTTTGGTTTGAGTAGTTGAAATAAAACTTTGAATTCTTACAAGTTTTCTTCCTTTTTAGTACCAAGTGGGCCTCTTGCTGTCCTCAGCAAAAAATAATATCAATGAGGAAGAAACAAAGGGGGTGAAAAGAAAGTAACACAAACCAAGAAATTAAGAATGTGGCAGGTATATTCCTAGACACTTTGGCAAATGTCATGTCAAGGAAACTGTAGTGGTTTAATGAAGGCCACAGACAGAAAACATGGTATTTTGGGTTCAGTTTTGTTGAATTGTTATGATCCCATGGTTTAATAAAAGTATTTGTTGCTCCTTGATTACTACAAGCAATGTGCCTGGACATTTTGGAAACACGATCACTGCAATATGGTGGCTGTAGTCCTTTCTTCAGGTCTGGACACTCGTCAAGAGCCATCCTCCGATCCCACATTTTTCTCTACGTTTGTTTCCTCCTTACTCACATTTCTTTAAGATTAAAGAACTGGTTTTACACAGTCAGCTTAGGCTGACTTGATTTCTTTCCCAGATGCATGGGCTTGCTCCTTTTCCTGCTGGGCACTAAAATCTCTAAGTCAGTTGCATTCCAATCCTATGCCTGACCTGGCATCACAAGCCAGCCATAGTCATCAGAGCAGTGGCGAACAAAAAGACTTCTTTTAATATCTATATGTGTATCAAAATAAACATACAAAAGTTGGAGTTACCGACTTTTCCTACCCAAAGCATTAAGAACTGCTTTTTTTAAAAAAATTTTTAAACGTTTATTTATTTTTGAGAGAGACAGAGACAGAATGCGAGTGGGTTGGGGCAGAGAGAAAGGCACAGAATCTGAAGCAGGCTCCAGGTTCCGAGCTGTCAGCACAGAGCCTGACACTGGGCTCGAACTCAGGAGCTGTGAGATCATGGCCTGAGCCAAAGTCAGACGCTCAACTGACTGAGCCACCCAGGAGACCCAAGAACTACTTTTTCCTTGACCACCTTTCTCATTGGGCTAGTAGGTTTCTTGCCCCAAGCTCTGATGGTCTCTTACCTTGTCAGCGAGGCTCCCATTTACTATCCTCTAGCCTATACTTCACATCTCTTTCCTTCAGAACTTAAAAGTACTGTCTCAGGACACACAACCCAGTTGGCACCTTCCCTTATATTCCATCTTCAAATACACAGTAGGAATCATCATGTGAACAGTCTCGATTTGGACCTTGCAAGTTATCAGGGGGTGCTTATTGCCCAGTTCTGTTTTCAATATTGTGTTTCCATGTATCTTTCTTCCACAGAAGGAAGTAAAGAGGCCTAAATAGAAATATGTGATTGGTTTTGTACGGAGGAAATATTATCAGCCTGAAGCCCCAGTTATAATCTCTGCTCTTACCTTACGTAGATACATAAACCGAGACCCCACCACTGGCACTGGTTACACAAACTAGAGAGAAAACTGAAACTCTCTATTCCAGTCATTTAATGTCTAACATAAAATATTAGAAGGGATCTTAAGAGATCTGGACCTACTGTTCATTTTAGAAATGAGAAAATTGAAAACTAGACAAAAGAAAAGATTTTCTCAAACTCACAGATGACAACCCTGTCCATCTGACCATCCCCTCTGTGTCTACATCTGTCTTCTTCTTGACACATTTCTGTCCTTGGTGTGAATATTTGTGTGTGGGATTCCTTGATTCACTATCATCAACTGCTACCCCAGTAGGTAAAAATGAAATTCACATTTTTTTTCAGCATCATATAACTATAAACTTTTCTTTTCTTCTTTTCTTTTACTCTTTTCAATTTCTCTTTCTTTCTTTTCCTTTCCTTTTTTTCTTTCCTTTCCTTTTCTTTCTTTTCTTTTTTCTTTTCTTTTCTTTCTTTGTTTCTTTATTTTCTTTCTTTTTCTTCCTTCCTTTCTCCCTCAGTATACACACACGTATATATGTTTAATACTCTGAAACACAAATATGAGAGTAGAGATTTAGTTGCCTTGTTCTCTACTATATCTCAGAGTCTGATACCACAGGGCACAGATTAGCACACCTGATAAATATTTCATATGAATGAATATCAAACATGTATACATTCCTTAGCCCAGAGATCTGCTAATTCAAAATATGAAATAATTCAAACATGGTAAATAAATGGTTGCATGATTTGTCTTCTGTGTTTGTTTGAATAATGATACAATTTGTTCTGTGTAGATTGTCTGAATTTTATAAATTTAAAAAAGAAAGACAGCTTATAAATTCATGTTTTTTTGAAAATTAGTCTTCAATATAAAGCTCTAAGCATTTAAGACATTTTATTTATTTTAATAATTCATACAATTACTTTGAGTTCAGTTTTGTATATCAACCTGTA